CAGAGCAGGAGACGCACGAGCACCTAGAGCAGCAGCCTCACCGGTACCTGGAGCAGGAGACGCACTAGCACCTAGAGCAGCAGCCTCACCAGTACCTGGAGCAGGAGACGCACTAGCAACTAGAGCAGCAGCGTCACCAGCACCTAGAGCAGCAGGCTCTTTACCTGGGTCAGGCGGTACGCACAGGTAACAGGCACGGTCAGCACTAGTAGGCAATGCATACATGGCAGTGAGAATAGCATCATAGTCAAGAGCAAATATATCTACTCTCTGCCTAAGCAGCTCCACCCAGTCGGGGAGCTCAGCCTCGTCGCCAAACTCGGTACGCCAGGCGTCGCTCAGACGGGCGAAGCAGCGGGACTGTGTGTGACTAGGCGTCCCGCAAGGCTGACCAGTCCGAGCACCAGTGCGAATGACGTAAGAGCAGCGAACAGAACTGAGAGACCCTCTACTCTGAGCGTACCACTCACGAAGCTGCTGGGGCGTGCGAGACTCGCGTGGACGTCGCTGGAGCTGCATCTGGCCGCCGCCAGTAGCAGCAGCAGCAGCAGTAGTAGCAGTAGCAGCGCGGCCACCCCTACACCCCCAACTAGCGTACCACTCACGCAACTGCTGGGGCGTGAGGGACTCACGCGGACGTCGCTGGGGCTGCATCTGGCCTCCGCCAGTAGCAGCAGGAGCTGGCGCGACAGGCAGGCAGGTAGGCAGGCCGGCAGGCAGGCAGGCAGGCCGGCAGGCAGGCAGACAGGCAGACAGGCGGCGCGGCAGCGCGCTAGCAAGGCAGGGGCTCACCAGTGGCGGGAAGAGCAAGCTCTCACCGGGCGAGCAGGGCCGGTGCTCGGCGGACGGCGGCAGGGTCGGCGCACGACGGCTGCGACAGCGGGGCCGCGGCAGCGGCTACAGCGAAGGGCCGGGTCGAGTCAGCGGCAGGGCGGGGCCGGGTCGTGTCAGCGGCAGGGCAGGGCCGGGTCGTGTCAGCGGCGGGGCCGGGTCGTGTCAGCGGCGGGGCCGGGTCGTGGCAGCGGCGGGGCGGGTCGTGGCAGCGGTAGGGAGGTGCGCGCCGCTGCCTGGGGCCGCGCACTGGCGGGTAGGGCGTGGCGCGGGCTGCGCGGACGGCGCGCAGCGCGTTGCGGGCCGCGGACGCGCCGCGCGGGCTTGGGGCGGGCTGCGCGGGGCAGCGGCGGGCCGCGCGCGCGCTGCGCGGGCTCGGTGCGGGCCGCGCGGGGCAGGTGTGGGCCGCGCGCGCGTCGCGCGGGCTCGGGGCGGGCTGCGCGGGGCAGCTGCGGGCCGCGCGTGCGCTGCGCGGGCTCGACGCGGGCCGCGCGGGCCGTGGGCGGGACGCGACTCGGCTGCCGAGGCGCGATTCGGGCAGGAGAGGGCGACCCGCGGGGGTAAAAACGAGGCAGCGCTAGGAAATGAGGTCTGAGCGCGAAGCAGCAGCAGACAGTTCAGACAGTAGACAGCAGACAGCAGGCAGACAGTGCGCGCAGTGCAGCACGTCCTAGGTACAGTGACAGGCACATTCGTGGGGTAGCGGTAGGTGGGCCCGAAAAAAAAGGCGGTCCTACGGACCTACTGCTCTGAAACCATGTCAGAAGTACAGGCAGGAATGAATGAACTATGGAAGAGTTGGGTACAAATGTCAAACCCTAGAAGGGGTTGTACCCCATATTGGCTACCCCACTACAGCCTAAACATATATAGCATACATAGTCTGACACTGAAGGCACTGGAGGAACGCAACACGTGGAAAGTGGTTCCTATCGGCGTGGCACGGAACAAGACAGTGCTCACCGGGAAGTGGGTCTTCCGTGTGAAGACAAAGGCTGACGGCACCATTGACAAATTTAAAGCTCGCTGGGTTGTACGCGGCTTCGACCAAGAACACGGACGCGACTTCACCGAAACTTTCGCTCCGGTTAGCCGCCACACCTCACTACGCATTCTCCTCGCAATCGCCGCCATGAAGAAGAAAAAGCTGCGACAAATTGACGTCGCGAACGCGTTTCTCTACGCACCTGTTGATGCAGAAATTTTTGTCGAGCTACCGCACGGCTCCCACAGAGAACCCAACCAAGTCTGCCAGCTACTCAAGTCACTCTACGGCATCAAGCAGGCTCCGCGACTGTGGCAACAGTACCTGCACGCTCGCCTCATCCGCATCGGCTTCAAGCAACTACCGCACGATCAAGGCATGTACCGGCTCACAAAAAACGACGACTACATCCTACTAATCGTCTACGTGGACGATCTCCTTTACATCGGCTCAAATGACGGCATCACTACCTGGTTCGAAGGGGAGCTGCAGCGAGATCTCACGCTCACAGTTTCATCTACCATCACTCAGTACCTCGGCCTCAACATCCGGGAAGAGGAGGACGCGATCTACCTCAGCGCCGAGAAATATGCCAACACCATCGCCAAACGCTTTACGCTCACACCGACAGCCATCTCCACGCCATACCGCTACACGGCAGGGAACGACAAAGGAAGCTCCGCTCTACTCAAGCCCGCCGGCATACGAGACTACCAGAAGAAGCTGGGATGTCTTCTCTTCGCAGCCGTCACCTGTCGCCCCGACCTCTCATACTCCGCAAGCCAGCTCGCCACCTACCTCAAGAAGCCTGAAGCAGAACATCTGGCGGAGCTCGACCGCGCTCTTCACTACTTCGTCAGCACCCCAACGATCGGCCTAACTTACTACAAGAACGCAACCACACCGACTAAGTTAATCGGCTACGTCGACGCTGATCACGCTGGCGACTCCGACAATAGGCGCTCCCGCACCGGCTACATCTACCGCCTCGAACCTATCGGACCTATCTCTTGGCAGTCGAGCAAGCAGGAATTAATTGCTCTCTCGTCAGCTGAAGCAGAATATATTGCACTCTGCTCAGCCACCAAGGAAGGACTCTATCTTCGCGAGCTGCTGGAAGAAGCGAAGTTAGCCGAGTTACCCAACTTTACCCTGTTCTGCGACAACCAGTCGGCAATTCGCATCGCCAACAAGAACGGCTTCGCGAACAGGACGAAACACATCGCCCTGCGATATTTCTTCGTGAAGGACGAGATCGAGAAGGGAAGGCTCGAGCTGTCATACTGTCCCACGTCCGAGATGGCAGCTGACTACCTGACCAAGAAGCTCGGAAAGCAGAAGTTCGAATACTGCATGCTGCTGACTGGACAGAGCCACGTCAGCGACACTCCAGAAGCGAAGGGGAGTGTTGGAAACAATCGGTCCTAAGCGCCTCTGTCGTGTCGAAACACTAAGATACAAAAGAAACGAAGTATAACGAATCACCGGCGAGTCAACCCTCGGAGGTTGAAAGTAACTGTTGGAGGTTACGCGAAAGTCAAAGGTCAGCGACCTTTGACCTGACAAAGTACAGCGCGACAGCAAGGACAAACAACTGACTCGGTATTGAGCAGTTGCCCGAGTCGTCACTGTATCGAACCGCAACAGCAATAGTAAAACGGTTATTAACTGTATCTCTTCGTATTCCTTGTACTCTTATAAAAGCTTGTATCTCTTTGTTTTAATCAACTTACTTTGCCCTCACATACTAGCGCAAGGTGGTTCACAACTCTTTAATTAACGCTTCCGCTACTACACCAACTCTACCCAGAGTTCACCCCTGCAAAGATCCTAAGGGTTTTTCAGCCCAACAGAGGGGACTGGGGTGGGGGGTTTAGGGGTATCGGTGCTCTATCTTGTTGTAGATTGCTCATCATCGTACAGCTCAAGAAACCAGGAGGCGACAAACAAACAAGCACATATTTTGTTCAATCAGATACAACTTTCACAAGCTAAAGGAGATTGGCAGCACTAAACTACACACAAACAAGGTAACTGCACGTAACAAACGAAAACAAAGAGCTCCCTAGTCTACACAGCATTGCACCAAGCTACAGTTGCAGAACCCACCGACGCTCATGCTGTCCCTCCCCTCTTGTGCCCCTCACCCTCCCCTCTCCCCAATTCTAGCTCTTGTGGGAATCCACTTTACTCAGCTCATCTCAACCGCACAGCACCACTTTGTCCTTCTCCTGCTCCCATTTGTGCCCCTCCCCCCTCCTCCTCAGCTCATGGGACTCCAGGCTGCTCATTTGGGAATGAACTTCCCCTAAAGACACTCCTGTCCTGTGCACCTTGCTCTCGGCTCGGCTCATCTCAGCTCAGCTCAGCCCTGCTCCACAGCACCACCCTTCGCCCCGCATGCTCCCTCGCCCTCCCCCTCCAGCTCATGGGACTCCAGCTCGCTCAGCTCAGCAGGAATGAACTTCCCAAACGACACCCCTGCCTTGTGCACCCTGCTAGCTCATCTCATCTCATCTCAACTCAGCTCAGCTCATCTCATCTCATCTCAACTCAGCTCAGCTCATCTCATCTCATCTCAGCTCTGCACCCCAGCACCAGCATTCGCCCCACATGCTCCTTCTGCTCCCTCGCCCTCCCCCTCCAGCTCATGAGACTCCAGCTCGCTCAGCTCAGCGGGAATGAACTTCCCAAACGACACCCCCGCCTTGTGCACCCTGCGCCGCCTCCTCCCCACCCTCGCCTTCTGCTCTCTCTGCTCCTTCTGTTCTGGCCTACAAGCAGCACTGCTTTCGCCCTCGGGCACTGATTCGCCTCTCTCCTCTGCCTCATTCCCATGGGAACCCTCCTCTGAGAATTCCTCTGAATCTTCCCACGAGCCTTCCTCTGACCCAACTTCCTCCCACTCCTCATCCTCGGACCCCGCCTCTCCATCCTCTTCCAAACCTCCATCGCCCATCACTCTCTCCTCTTCTTCAACCCTCATGTGAGGCGAATCATGTGTACTCGAATCCTCCTCCCCGCTTCTGCTCTCCCCAATCTCCTCCCCAGTTCCCTCTGAACCGTTTGCAACACCCTCCTCATTAACCTCTCCTTCCTCTCCCTCTCCCTCTCCCACTCCCTCACCCTCTCCCTCTTCACCTCCCTCACTCACTTCCTCCCCACCCTCCCCCTCACTCATAGTCTAAGACAGCTCCTCCTCCACCTCCTCATACTCCTCCTCAACCTCCTCGTACTCCTCATCACTCCCCAAGCTCACATCATCACCATACTCACTCCCCTCCTCCGCACCCACACTCACATCCTCACGTTCCTTAGCACCCCCCCCCCCCTTCCCCATCCTCGTTATTGTGCTCCTCACTTTCAGATCCATGTTCTCCCTCCGCCCCCTCCCTTTCTTCCTCTACCTCTTTCCCCTCCTCTCCCCTGCTTCCCTCTCCATCCTCACTCCCCACTCCTACCTCACCGTCCTCACCCTCCTCTCCGTCCCTCTCCATGCCTCCCTCACTCTCCTCTCCCTCCTCCTTCACCTCCCCATTTTCCCCACCATCCAGCGTATCCTCCTCGCCCACACTCTCCTCTCCTACAATCCCCTCTTCCACCTCCCCCTCCTCCCCCTCCTCCCCACCATCATCAAGGTAACCATTATCATCCAGCATCTTTTCCCGCTCATCCTCCGATAATATCTCCTCCACCTCCTCCCCTTCCCCCTCGTCCTCCCCCTCGCCCTCCAAGATATCAACTTCCTCCGCTTCTTCTCCCTCCTCCCCACCCTCTCCCCCGTCCTCCTCTTCCAATTCATCCACTACTTCATACGCTTCCTCTCCTTCCTCCTCTTCATACTCTTCCCCTTCCTCCTCTTCTGCTCCCACAACCTCTTCTTCCCCACTTTCTTCCACCTCCTCCTCCTCTCCCTCCTCTCCTTGCTCTCCCTCCACTCCCTCTCCCTCCTCTCTCTCCTCGTCTTCATACACGAACTCAACGATCTCCTCCCCTTCCTCGAGATCCTCCTCGTTCACAAACTCATAGATCACTCCTTCCTCCTCTTCCTCCTCTTCTCCCTCCTCCTCTTCCTCCTCTTCTCCCTCCTCCTCTTCCTCCTCTTCTCCCTCCTCCTCTTCCTCCTCTTCTCCCTCCTCCTCTTCCTCCTCTTCTCCCTCCTCCTCTTCCTCCTCTTCTCCCTCCTCCTCTTCCTCCTCTTCTCCCTCCTCCTCTTCCTCCTCTTCTCCCTCCTCCTCTTCCTCCTCTTCTCCCTCCTCCTCTTCCTCCTCTTCTCCCTCCTCCACCTCCTCTGCCTCCTCTTCCCTCTCGCCCTCCTCTAGTTGCACTCCTTCCTCTGTTGCTTCCTCAATCTCCTTCCCGTCTTCAAGATCCTTCTCATTCACATACTCGTATATAACTCCCTCCTCTCCCTCCTCCTGCGCTACCTCTTCCCCGTCGTCTGCCTGTGCTTCTTCCATCACCTCCTCTTCTTTCTCCCCTTCCTCGAGATCCTCTTCGTTCACGTACTCGTATATCACTCCCTCTTCTTGCTCCTTCTCTACCTCTTCCTCCTCGCCCTCCACTTCCTCCACTTCCTTCTCTTCCTTCTCCTCTGCTCCCTCCTCTTCCCCGTCTTCTGCCTGTGCTTCCATTACCTCTTCTTCCTCCGTTTCCACTCCCTCCTCCGACGCTCCCTCGTCCTCCTTCCTTTCCTCCACATCGCCTTCACTCGCACACACGTGCACCTGCACCTCCTCCTCGTCCTCCTCTCCCTCTTTTACCCCCTCGCCCTCTACTTCCTCCATCTCTTCACTTTCCTCTCCCTCTGCTTCTTCCACTTCCTCCCCTACTTCCGAATTCCCCTCACTCACACACTCATACACCACCTCCACCTCCTCTCCCTCTTCCACCTCCTCTCCCTCCTCTCCCTCCGCGCCCTCCTCTCCATTCACCTCCACCTCCTCATCCTCTCTTTCCTCCTCAGCTCCCTCCTGGTGCTCCTCCTCACTCTCAACACTCTCTTCCTCCTCTTCCTTCACACTCTCTTCCTCCACAACAGCTTCGTTCACACCTGTCGTCTCCTCACTTCCCTCCTCACTTTCCTCCTCACTCCCTTCCTCCTTCCCCCCTGCGCCTAATCCAGCGTCCTCTGCCAGCCTGTCACATGCTTCCGGACTTTCTACCACGTCAGCACCACTTGACACATCAGCTCCTTGTGCCACATCAGCACAACTTGACACATCCGCATCTTCAGCCACGTCAGCTCCTTCTGTTACGTCTGCACCTTCGTCCACATCAGCATCTGCCACATCAGCAGCATCAAGGACGGTTCCCGCCAGGTCAGCGCTCCCTGCCGCGTCTGTTGTCTCATCCCTTCTCTCCTTACCGTGCCCCTCTCCTCCCATCACACTCCCCTCATCGCTGCACGAAGGGGAAGTGCACGAAGCAGCATCGTCCTTCCCCTCAAATCTCTCCACACCACTCAACTCCACACTCTCCTGCACTCCTTTTCCCTTCTCTCCCTCCTCTTCTTCATCCTGTGCCTCTTCCACACTCTCAGCACTCTCCTCACACACTACTATACCCGCGTCCTCACACGCACCATTCAGTTCACTTTCTGCCTCTTCTGATTTCACTATTTCTTCTGCTTCTTCACTGTTTGTTTCAGCTCCCTCCTCGGTATCAATCCCTTCCTCCTCTTCCCTCTCTACCTTCTCCTCCGTCTCTTCCCTCGCTTCCATTTCCTCCTCCTCCTCCTCCCTCGCTTCAATGCCCTCTTCCCTCTCATCCTCGCTTTCTCCTTCACTCTTCAAACTCGCTTCCTCTTCCCACTCACTCCCGCACTCACTCTCAGCAGCTTCCTCTCCCGCGTTCCTTTCACCTCCCTCCTCCCCATCCTCGTCCTCTCCCTCATTCTCCAGACTGCCCTCCTCTCCCTTCTCACTCCCACACTCACTCTCACCATCTTCCCCTCCATCACTACCACCACACTCCTCCCTCTCCTCCTCAATCTCCTCCCTCTCCTCCTCAATTTCCACTCTCTCGCCCTCATCTTCTTCTCTCTCCTCCCTCTCATCCTCACTCTCACCAACTTCCCCTCCATCACTACCACCGCACTCCTCGATCTCCGCTTCTCTCTCCTCCTCACTCTCCTCCCTCTCCTCACCCTCTTCCCTCTCCACCCTCTCATCCTCACTCTCCTCCCTCTCCTCCTCAATCTCCACTCTCTCATCCTCATTTTCTTCTCTCTCCTCCCTCTCATCCTCACTCTCACTTCCGCTCCTCACACTCACACCCTCACTCGCCTCACTCACTGACCCAATATCGCTCCCACACTCACTCCCACTCTCGCTCCTACACTCACTCCCACTCTCGCTCCTACTCTCACTCCCACACTCACTGCCCCTCTCACTCACACTCCCCTCATCACTCTCCCTCTCACTCTCATACTCACTCCCACATTCACTGCCAAATTCCCTCTCCTCTCCCTCACTTCCACACGCCTCCCCACCATGCCCATCCTCATCACACTCGTTGTCGCTCGCACTCTCACTACCCTCTTCCACAACCTCCGCTTCTTCCCTTGCGTCCTCATGCTCCTCCTCATGCTGCTCATACTCCTCTTCCTCCTCCCTCTCCTCCAAAATCTCTACCACCTCCATTCCCTCCTCCAGCTCCTCCCCTTCCTCCAACTCAATCACCTCAACCTCCTCCTCCTCTTCCACCTCCTCTCCCTCCTCTTCCACCACCTCTCCCTCCTCACTCGTCTCCTCTACCCCATCATCACTACGAGCCATCACCACCAGCGGAGGCAGTGCAAGCATCCATGCTTCCATCTCAGCATCACACACACTCGCTGCTGCTCTTGCTCCTGCTGCTGCCGCTCCCCCTCCTCCCCCTCCAGTTTCCACCTCACTCACTCTCCCCACTCCGCTTCCCCCGACCGCTCCGCTTCCCCCGGTCCCTCCGCGCGTGAGCGCCCTCCGCACCCCCTCAACCAGCATCTGCGCCTCCATCCACTCCTGAAGCTCCAATATCTCGTTCACCTCCTCTTCCGCCTCTCCCTCCCCCTCATACTCCCCCTCATCCCAGAACGCTTTTCGCGCTCCCTCTCTCCTCTCTCCGCCCTCCGCTTCCTCCTCGTCTTCATCCGCTTCCCCTTCTCCCCCTTCTTCCTCCCCCCGGCTTCCCGACTCCCCCCCTTCCGCCTGCCGCTTCTCCTCCGCCTTCCCCCCAATCCCCAGCGCGGCGATCTTGGCGGCAGCGGCGGCAGCAATGGCGGCCGCAGCAGCCGCTTTAGACGACGACTTGGGCGCCTTCCCCTTGCCTTTCGCGGATAAGGAGTCGGCAACAGAACCAGAAGCATCAGCAGAAGAAACAGCAGCGGCAGAAGCGGCAACAGCAGCAGCGGCAGAAGCAACAGCAAGGGCAGAAGCAGCGGAAATCGCGGTAACAGCGGGGACTGCAGGGGTTGCGGGAGGAGCAGGGGCATCACGGCAGGGAAGGGGAGGGGAAGCAGGAGCGGCAGCAGCAGCGAGCAGAACCACCCCATCCATGGCCGCTTCTCCATCCGTCGCCGTATCTCCCGCTTCCGCGCTTCGAAGCGCCTCCAAACCATTCTCAATCTCCATACCTCCCATGCTCGCAAACAAAGCAGCAGGAGGAGCACTAGTGGTGGTGGTGCCTGCTGACGTGGCTGCTGACGTGGGAGCCCAGCAAGACGGGCTCGCTTCGTTAAACGTCACCGCGTCGCCTTCATCCAAGCTCAATAACGCGTATCCCTTCCCACCGCCAATGCCACCTCCAACACTGCTGCCGGCACCTGTATCATCACCGTTACTGTCACTGTTCCCGTTACTGCTACCGTTACTGTTACCGCCGCCACTGCCTAAGCCAATCAGCTGGCTCAGCCGGCTAGTGAAGCTCATACTCGCCAACCCCCCGGGTGGAGCGGCTGTAGCAGCAGCGGTTGTAGCAGCGGCAGTAGCTGAAACATCAGCAGCAGCGGTGGCATGCGAAGCGCCATTTGTTTCAGCGAGTTTGCTCAAAGCTCTATTCAGAGCAGCAGACGAAGGCTCCTTAGTGGAGCTCTCGCTATAATCACACCCCACTTCCCTGCGCGACCCGTGCTTGGTCTCCAGCAAATAAAGCGGCTCGTCGAACTCGTTACTGTCATCCTCTTTATTGTTCTCAAATCCATTCTCCCCTCCTTTCCCCTCCGATTCGGCATCGTAGCCGTTGATCGAACGGTTGGAGCTGCCTGATGACGTGGAGCCGAAGTAGGATGACGTGGAGTGAAATTCTGGTCCCGTGAACACCTGTGCTGAAGCGAGAGAAAGCGTGGGCGGCAGTGACACAGGTTTGGGCGGCTGCGCTGTCGCTTCTGCGCGCGTCCATGAGAAGAGGTTCCCGAGAAACGAGCTGCCACCGGCGGCGGCTGTTGCGGCGCTATTCGCGGCGGAAGATGCGGCGCCAGGTACGGTGCTAGCCGCGTTCGCCGCTGCCTCTGCGAAGTCGTGAGAAGACATCAAAAGAGATGCATGAGGCAGAGAAGGAGTAACTCCACCGTCGAACGCGGCGCGGCTTGCGGAGTGAGCGAAGGAATGCGCAGGGGAGGACTCGGGTGCCTGCCATGTCACATCTGCCACGTCTGATTGCGCTGACGTGGCTGCGGGCGGCAAGGGCTCGTCAATAACAGCATCCGCGCAACCGCTGGGAGGGGGCGAAAGAGAGCCGCGCGGAGGGCTCCAGGCGGAAGCCTTGAGCGCGTCTTCCGCGTAGTGATTATAACGAGCAGCGTGCGCAGAGCCACGTTCAGTCGATGACGAAAGAAGAGGCGCGTCATCGGAATCGGCAGCATCCGCAGCATCAGCAGTAGCGGATAGCGAGGCTGACAAAGACGAGGATACGGGGGAGGAGAACGAGGAGGCGGAGGTGGAAGGGGGAGAGGAGGAGGAAAAGGGGGAAGCGGAGGAGTGCAGTGCGGAGGAGGTGAGAAAGCAGCTGAACGACGGCTGGATGGAGGGGTGGCGAGCGGCGAACGCGGTGGGCGAATAGAGGACGATCGGGGTGGACGGTTCAGATGGCAGCTCCTCCAAAGGTTCGGACGGCGGCGAGGACGAAACGCCCGCCATGACACTGTCCTGAGCGCCACTATCGAATGTGCTAGTAGCGAGCGGGATGGTCTGCGGTGAGGCAGCAACGAGGGGGTTGGGCGCGCGAGCAGGCGGAATGGGGAGTTTCGGAACGGGTAGCGCGACCGGGTTGCCCTGGCTGCGCGGGTTGAAATCCGCGGAGTCGTCAATTTCGTCCGTGCTGCTGCTGCTGGTTGCGCTGCGCGTGTGATTGTATCGGGCGCTCTCGCCAGCCTCGCTCGTAGCGCTCTTCAAGCTGAAGCCGGTGTACGGAGGGACAACGCCGCTAAACGGGTGTGACGTCATCGCCACGTCATTCGCGATACCGCCGTGACCGTAGGCCCCGGCCGTCACGTACCTGCTCCCGTAGTGCTGACGGCTATCCGTCACGTCACAGCCGCCGCTGCTGCTGCTAGAGCAAACGGCGTCCGACAAGCTGCTTCCCCCGCTGCTCCGGCTCGCGCCGCTGCTGGCGCCGGGCATTGCGGCGCCCAAGCCGCGCGCGCCGGATCCGGTGGCCCGACTAATAGAGCCAGTGCCGCGGCTCGCGTAGTTGAAGAGGCTCGCGGACGAACGTGACGCGGACCAAACCGGGGGAGGAAGCTCCACGTGGTCGACTCTTACTGGTGCGTTCGCGACGGGTAAGTGCGGCTTGCCGACCACAGCGTGATACGCGGAGGGTAGCAGCTCCGACTCCTTATCGAACGGCGACTCGTACGGACGCGTGCCTTCGCCGCGCCACGTGGCGTAAGACAACTGGCGCTGCTTCTGCAGGAGGAGAATCTGCTGCTCGCGCAATTTCTGCGCCTGCTCCGCTTCGAACGCCGCCTGTTCCTGCTTCTGCCGCAGCTGCTGAATCTCCTGCGTCTCCTCCACTCGCATCGCACGCAGTCGCTGTCGCATCTCGTCCAGGTCCTTGCTGAATCCGCCGATCTCCGCGCGACGTCGCTCGCGCTCGCCGCGGTCTTCGAGGTAAAACTCCGCGGGCGACGGGCGGCCCCGCCGCCGCTCGCCGTAAGGCGCGTGGGAATACATGCTATGTCCTTACTCTGCTGAGAATTTCTACTATATCCTTCAGAATGTGAAATATGGTAAGTTTCCTTAAAACTAGACAGAGTACATTCGTGGAACCCTTGTTCCACGAGACAAGTGTTCCAAGTCTACACGACCGCGACTAGAGGAGAAGCTCCTGAACGTCACACTAAACCACGACGTGGAAGCTACGACACCATAGACTCAGAAGTCACCATAAAGGAAGTGGGATAACAAGGTGACAGAATAAATGAAATGCGCTGTGGTGCGGGCATGTGGGAGTGGTCAAGCATACCGATGGTGGGGATCAGCCTGGTTTGAGCCAGATTTGGGTACGGAGAGGAGATAGAATGGAACATCTCACATCGCAATAGGGGCAACAGGCTTGGGGAGGGCTGGATTTGGGAAGGGAAGGGACGGAAGGGAGGGGCGGAGGGGCAACAACGAGGGAGATGAAATCATGGATGGAGTGGAGTGGATTGGTTGGCTGCTTGCTTGCTTGTCGAAGCGCGGTCGCCCTCGACATTGAATCCGCGGTGCGTCAACGACGCCTGCTGTAACCACGAGCACTTCGCATTACGAGTCGCTTGCCACGTCGAAGGGGCTCAGATGTGAAGGGACGTGGCTCCGAACTCTCACATGTGATTGTACAGAAAAAACCATAACGAGTTATTCTTCCCGACATGATTATGGGGCTAGTAGCGTAGCAGATACTCGCAAAAACACCTCACCAATGGCTGTTCTGGTACACTTGCCTCTGTTATAAAAAAATATCGTTTCCTTGGAAGTATACTTGGATATGTGTAATCTAAAGTATTGTATCGCGAATATTTATCGTTCCTTGTAATTTAGTCGCATTATACAGTTGAACATCGAGGAATCACATCATGAGACAAATTCACTGAGCTAAGAACTACATGAAGACTTGGTATCTTTCACTGGAAAACAGATAATTATGCAGATGTGTGACTGAGAAGTTCACACGCTCTTTGATGCGATCACTTAGTTCCACGGTCCTCCTACGAGGAAATACTAATTTTAGCTACGTCGACCTCTAATCTTCCCTCACAGAATCAGTTTCGCCTCGCCCTCCTTATATTCCGGCTTATCCCACAGCAGATGCTGCTCCTGGTCCGCTCCTCCCATCAGCCAGCTCGCGAAACCACCACTACTCTTCTTGCTCTCAGCTTTCTTCCCCTCGCTTCCACCGCTATTCACCGCACTCTCGTACGTCTCAATTCGCCCGCTCCTTCCGCCGCCATTCGCGCCGTAGAATGTAACTCCGGAAGCGGACGGCTGAACCATATGCTGCAGCTTCGGAACCGAGGAAGAGGGAGCGACGGAGGAGTAACTCCACATGTTACCACCTGGAGGGTTACCAGGGTTACCAGCAGCCGGAGCGGTTGGCTTAGCTCCCGTGGTCTCCGTTTTCTCGGGATTTTCGCGCCAGTACATGGGTTCGGATGTGGAGGTCAACTCGCGGTAGAGCCGAAGCCCGCGGAAATCCAGCTTCGCTTCGTGGCGCGCCTCTTCCTCGCGCTGCCGCTGGATGCGCTCGAGCTCCTGCGATAGGTACGCATCGTCCTCTTGCACCTCGCGAAACCGCTGGCGAATGGAGTTGAGGTCGTTCGACATCGCAGTGACCTTCGCGCGACGTCGCTCGTGATCGTGAGGGTCGCTGACGGTTTCCAAGTACCGCGCGACGGCGCGCGGCCCAGCGCGAGAAGGGCGTGGGTGATACATATCCCTCTAGCGGATGTGAGTTCCTACGAATGGTTCTGTATAACGCCCAACACTAGGCAAAACATACACGATGTGGGCTGTGTGCTTCCTGACAAGATAACTGTTTTTCAGAAAAGGCGGGTTTAACGAACTGGACACAATCTGGAGGAGTTGCTGAAAAGCGGTCGGTCTGATGAGACAAAACCTGGGTCCAACACAACAGAGGCTGTTGTGTCATATGAGCGCTTCTAGAGACTAGGTACTCTTGCTGGCCTACCAAAATCGTCGCAGGGAGAGTGCCGAGAGCGGATGGGACAGAGAAACTACGGCTACGTCGCATGGATTTTCCGCATTTCCGTAGGCAAACGAGGAATAGAACCACTTTATATCGCATCATATCTGTTAGGAGACCTTCCAATCGTCCGTAACCTTCGTATGCTCAATCGCCAAGGTCAAAGGCCGTCCGAGGAGGAGCCATCCTCATTATCACCTGGAATGTGAGAGCCATACAGTTCGTGTGCCTGTAACGACTGCGACGCGAGTTCAGCCCAGGGCAGATTGAACTCGGTCACGCGATCCGTCCCTGCTGGCAGCGAAATTCCACCGCCATTGTGGCGTAACACCCACATAAAGTCGCTGACTTCTCGAAATTGCTTCAGCCCTACACCCACATAGCATTCCTTACATCATCAGCGTAGATAAATGTAATTCCAACTCTACATGCTTCTATCCTACACGTTTCATGCTACAATAAAAATCAGACAGAACAATGAACTTATATTCTAAATTGCATTCTGAGCCAGATCTATGCATTACAAATTGGTCGGAAGCGTTGTGCCGCAGAAATGCATACAGGCCATATCTATACGAAGTATTGGCCTCTTCATGAAAAAAACAAAAAACGGTGTGAAGTCCTGACGCGCTAGGAAATAATAGAATTCAGTCTGAGCAGGAATCACAACATTGGGCAACGTATAGTTAAAATATAGAACACCATTAGCTAGTGGCCCATACAGGTTTCGAACCTGTGACCTTCGCGTTATTAGCACGACGCTCTAACCAACTGAGCTAATAGGCCGATATCCATAACCAAAACTTAGTTTTTTTTGCGGTTAACTTAATTGATTCTAGATACGTTTTCTGGTTGGTGGGGTCACCCTCATTGCATGGCACCAGCGCGAGTGCTCCCTCTTCCCACAGCCATAGTCGTCCGCGATGCGCGCTCCGACGCCGTACTCGCGCAGTTCCTAGGCGGCAAGCCGGCCGGCGAGTTATGCGACGCGCTGGAGCGACTCACGGGGTCGCCGGGCTGTCTCGTGCTCGGGGACAAGGCGTCCCAAGGCGCACCGCTCGTACTGACTGAATCGGATGTGATACAATCGGGGACGTACCACTGGCGAGGTGCGTGTCGCTGGCATACCGAATTTCGCTGGTGTTTCTGAGCTGCTGCTAGCATGTAGTCTAGTCTTACCGTCGTTCGACCCGCTTCAACAGTCGGACCGTCGACCGTAGCCTAAAGATACGGTGTCGTTATGTAGCGTCGATAAGATACAGTTAAGAATACGGTGACTCGGCGTTGTTCTGACTGGTGGCTGACGTGGCCGACACCATACGCGTGTTCATGCTGAGCTGTCGAACATACAAAATCGGTTAGCTTGCGCAGACGAAACGTACCAGACGAGACTAATATCTCCGTGACCCCTCTCCCTTGCTCTAATCCGATGCATCGCCTTCTTCCACCTTCCCCTCTCCACACCCGCACCCCTCTCCGTCCCACCCTCCTTCCCGACTTCCCCCCTCCCCCGCCTTCCCCCTCCCCCGCCTTCCCTCCTTCCTGACTTCCCCCCTCCCCCGCCTTCCCCTTCCCCCGCCTTCCCCCTCCCCCGCCTTCCCTCTTCCCGACTTCCCCCCTCCCCCGCCTTCCCCACCCCCCGCATGCGCAGTGGCTATAACGAGATCTTCCTCTCACCCCACCACCCAGCCGCACACCCCCCGTACAATCACACCCGCCACCGCCACCATGATTGGTCCGCGCAACTCGCGGCGTCCATACTCGCTATACTCATCCTCGGTAGCGGTATCCAGCTGCTCATCATGCTCGCAGCCCTCCCCTTCTGCAGTTACCGCTGGTCCTGCGCCTTTTCCCACTACCGCTCGTTCATCTCCTTTATAGACGGACCCTTTAAGGTGTTCGCGTTCGTCGCGGCCGTCCAAGCGGCCGGCAGAAACCCTGGTCGGTGGCTGTGGTTCGTGAAACACCTTCGTTTCAATCACATCCGTTTGAATCCGTTTCAAGGATGGTTTTCGCGGCTACGGATTCTTGGAAAGTCTTGGTCGGGAGTAGCGGGAGAACAGGCGTATCGAGGAGAGATAGGGTTAGGAGGGGAAACAGGGCTTGGAGGGAAGGGAGGCAGAGAGGAGAGAAGGGAGGAGAGGAGGGATTCAGGAAGGAAAGGGAGAGGAGGACGGGGAGGTAAGGGAGCGAGGAAAAGCAGCTCAGGTCAGGGAAAGCAAGGAGAGGGAGGCTTGGAATCCAATCTGGTGACAACAGGCTCGTGCAAGGCTTGGTTACTCGTTCGGCGCCAAGCCTAACTTCAGAAAGGGTTGTGGGAAAAGCTGGATCGGCGCGTTGTCCTGGGCCTGGGGAATTGGTCAACTCTCATAACTTGTTTCCCGTGGCATCCTGTGACACTGGTTCACCCCGCTCGGTGCCCTTCTCCTCTGCTGCTGCTGAGCTCAGTGCTTACTCGCCGTCTTTCCCCACTAGGGGAAGACTGCCTGGAAAGGTTTCTTCCTCCTCCTTGTTGGCGTATGTTACTATGAGAAGATCGATTTCTGATGGCGGCAGTGGTGATGTGAGCAAGCGAAAAGAAGACTGATCCAGACGGACTGCCTTTTTCTTTGCTTTCGGCGCTTGTCACATGTTTCAAAATCTTCATGCACAATTGATTCTCTCAGAGAAAATGTTAACTCTGTACTAATAAAACTTATACAGTATGATATTCTGGAACAAATCTACAGTGTTTTGGTTGATGTGCTGTTGACTGCCAGTCACCCAACTATTGACCCTGTTGACCCTTCTGACCTTGCCGACTCCCCAGCAGCACCAGTAGCAGCAATGGCAAGTGTAACGTGTCTCTGCTAGTATCTTCTCTCTCTGCTGTCCACTCGTTTAATGCCATCATCCCTCAACGCAGCAGAAGCAGCAGCAGCAGCAGAAGCAGCAGCACTAGCAGCGTCAGCAGCAGCAGCAGCCCCAACATGCTATCTTCTCTCTTTGCTGTCCACTCGTTTGAAGCCACCATTCCTAGAAGGACCAGCAGCAGCAGCAGCAATAACCACAGCCGCAGCAGCAGCTTCAGCATCTGCAACAGCCATGGCTTGGGTGGCTGCTGCCCTCCACTCTGCCTGACGCTGTGCCTCGGATGAAGGCAAACCCAGCTGTGAGAGACAGAGGGGGTCCAGGAAAGGATGCAGGAAGAGAGTGATGGAGTGGAATGAAGTGGAACAGAGTAAAACGGTGTGAAACGGATGCCATTGGTGTCCCTTGGGTGGCTGCTGCCCTCCACTCCGCCTGTCGCTGTTCCTCTGACGAGGGCAGACCCAGCTGTGAGGCGGAAGGGGGGAGGAGAAGGGAAGTGAAGAGTGCTAAGGAGTGGAAAGCGGTGAAAAGGAGTGGGACGGATGCCATGGCAGGAGTGGGACGGATGGAAAGGAATGGAGAGGATTGCAATGGAGTGGAAAGGAATGGAGAGGATTGCAATGGAGTGGAAAGGGATGGAGAGGATTGCAATGGAGTGGAAAGGGATGGAGAGGATTGCAATGGAGTGGAAAGGAATGGAGAGGATTGCAATGGAGTGGAAAGGAATGGAGAGGATTGCAATGGAGTGGAAAGGGATGGAGAGGATTGCAACGGAGTGGAAAGGGATGACGTCTCAAAAGACGTCTCAAAAAATAGTCCAAAAGTCGTCACAAAGGTGCCTCATAAGGGGAAGGTACTAATGGGAGAGAACAAACCTCACAGCAGCTCGAAATGCATCCATAGCTTCCTTCGCCTCCATTAGTACCTTCCCCTTATGGGGAAGGAAGCTGGATTCCTTTTTACTAATGCGTCCACAGCTTCCTTCGCCTCCAGCTTCGAGCTTTGAGGGATGGAGATGTCCCAGGAGAGGTTTTAAACGACATCTCGAAAGGAAAACTTATTCCGCGGTAACAAGGAATCTCACCGCAGCTCAAAAGGCGTCCATCCTTGCAGCTTCCTTTGCCTCCGGCTTTGGGTTTTGACATGTCTCAAAAAACTTCCCAGAAGTTGCCTCAAAAGGGGAAGGTACTAAAAGGAGGTACAGCGACTCACTGCAGCACGGAAGGCATCCATCCTCGCAGCTTCCTTCGCCAGCTTTGAATTTTGAGACATCTCAAGAGGAGTAGGCACTAAGGGGAGCGACAACGAATCTCACCGCAGCGCGGAAGGCGTCCATCCTCGCAGCTTCCTTCGCCTCCAGCTTTGCTAACTTGTTGCCCGCATGCACTGTGCGCTCCAGTTTCTGATGTATTGAGAGAGGTTGAGAATGGGTTGACAGGGGTTAAATGGAGTGAGCGAGTCGCCATGAAGACAGGAACACAGTGTGCGTCCAGCTTTGCCAGCTCGTTGCCCGCATGCACTGTGCGCTCCAGTTTCTGATGTATTGAGAGAGGTTGAGAAGGGGTCGAGAGAGGATGAGTAGAGTGTGTCGCCGAGGAGACAAGAGCATTGCAAACCAGAAGAGAACAGGGGCCAGGAGAAAGCAGAGCAACGGTCGGAGCAACGGTCGGAAATATCTGTCTTAAGTGGTGGTTTTGGAGGTTATCGCAGCAAAGCAAAGAGAACATAACCATGTCAAAAGTGGGAGTAAATGACGGGCAGTGCAGCTGGGCTTTAAATTTCTAAAAAAAGTCGACTCGAACATGACAAGAAAGATACGCATGCCAATTGCAGTAGTGACTGAGGGCAGTGTGACTGTGGAGGAAGCAAAGCACTCACCTTCTTTTCCATGCGAAGCTTCTTTTGCTCCCTGCAAGGGGAAACAACCGGCAGGCAGGGTTATAAGAGTGAATGTGGTGTGAGAAAGAATGTGGGGAAAGAACGTGAGGTGAAAAGTAGCATGAAGATCAAGGGACGAATGGAATCGTCGAAGGAGGGGAGTGGAGAAGACTAAGGGACGAGGGAAAGGAGGAGGAAAAGGAGGAGGGAACGAAGGAGGGGACGGAGGAAGGGGACAAGGGGGAGAGAGATAAATGGTCCATTCAAACATGTTCTACCTGCTATGAATAATTCTTAAGCTTCATAAACAATGCAAGAACGGTCCTTCAATCCACCACCCACCTCCAGTCAACAGAGCCAAAGAAGCGTTGCATGTTGGCCTGCTCGTCCTGCGCTTTCCTCCACTCGCCTGACCGCAATTGCTCCTGAAATCAGGGTATGTGGAGAGGGATTATAGATGGAGTTTGGAGAGAAAACTATGCTTCCAACCGTCATATAGGTGGGAATATAACGCATATTCTTTCATTGTTCTGCCGGTTCGCCAGAGAGAGATGGTACTGTTGCACGCTGAGTTCTGAGGTGCCTCAAAAGTTGGCTGCGAGGGAAAAGTCGCGTTTTGAGTCAGTACCTTTGCATGCTGAGCCCGTTGCCGAAGCACCTCCTTCTGCTCCACCTGCTCCATCATGCGTGCCTGCAGAGTCACGACACACACACACAAGAGTAGATGGTGCAGGAAAAGGAGAGAAAAGACTTCTGAGGCGACTCAAAGACCAGCCCGTTGCCTAAGCACCTCCTTCTGCTCCACCTGCTCCATCATGCGTGCCTGCAGATACGAGGAGATAATCAGAATAAAGGGAGAAAAATGTTAATAACGAGTAGAATATACAAAGAGAAGTTGGAAAACAAGAAATCACGACTTTTGAGATGTCTCAGAAGGAAACGTATGCGAAGATTGAAAGGAATAGAGGGAGAGGAAGATGGAAAGGGAGAAAGGCAGGAAAAAATGGGCACAAAGGAGGGGGGAGGGTTACTCGAGGCAAGGATTAAAGAGAGAGAGGCGGAAGAGCAGGATAGGGGAGTAGACGGAAAAAAACGACATGGAGATCATCAAAGGATTATCGTGGATCGATTTGAAAGCAAGGTGGGCGAGCAGGAGTGGGGGAGAGGAGAAGGGGATGAAGTGGAAGGAGGAACCGACATGCATGTCTTTTGAGTCGACTCAAAAGTCAGCTGAGAAGGGGATGAAGTGGAATGTCTTTTGAGTCGACTCAAAAGTCAGCTGAGAAGGGGATGAAGTGGAAGGAGGAACCGACATGCATGTCTTTTGAGTCGACTCAAAAGTCAGCTGAGAAGGGGATGAAGTGGAAGGAGGAACCGACATGCATGTCGTTTGAGTCGACTCAAAAGTCAGCTGAGAAGGGGATGAAGTGGAAGGAGGAACCGACATGCATGTCTTTTGAGTCGACTCAAAAGTCAGCTGAGAAGGGGATGAAGTGGAAGGAGGAACCGACATGCATGTCTTTTGAGTCGACTCAAAAGTCAGCTGAGAAGGGGATGAAGTGGAAGGAGGAACCGACATGCATGTCTTTTGAGTCGACTCAAAAGTCAGCTGAGAAGGGGATGATGTGGAATGTCTTTTGAGTCGACTCAAAAATCAGCTGAGAAGGGGATGAAGTGGAAGGAGGAACCGACATGCATGTCTTTTGAGTCGACTCAAAAGTCAGCTGAGAAGGGGATGAAGTGGAAGGAGGAACCGACATGCATGTCACCAAAGGATTTCTTGAGGTCATTGCGCCCGTCATCATCCGCCCCTGCTGCTCCATTCGCTCCATTCGCCAGCATCTCATTCCCAGGCGGCCCCGCATTGTTAGGCAGCTTCCCTCCCAGCCCTCCTTGACTCCCATCGTTCCCCGTTTCCTTCCTGCTGCCTTGGCGCCTCTTCCTCTTTTTGTGCCTGTCTTTCTTTCTGTCCTTTCCCCTCTTCCTCCGCTCCTCCTTCCTCCCTTTCTCTGGCTTTTTCCTCCTGCCTTTCCGGTTCCTCTTTTTGGTCTGCTTCCTCCGCTTCTTCCCGCTATCCTCGCTATCACTCTCTCCACTACTATCACTATTGCTTACAGTGTCACTGCTCTCGCTATTATCATCACTACCACTACTACTACTACTGCTGCTGCTGCTGCTGCTGCTGCTGCTGCTTCTGTTGTCACTGCCACTCCTCCCTTCTTCGCTGCTATCATCATCTGATGTGTTGGAATCATCCCCTTCCTCTCTCCTCCTCTTCTTCCTCTTCCCCCTTGGCTTCTTCAAGCTCCTACCGCTGCTTGCCTTGCCTTTTGTATTCTTTCGCCTGTTGTGGGATCAAAATCAAGAAGAAGAAAAGAGACGAGTAACTACCAAACACGAGATAAACGGGTGGGAAACTGGTTGTTCATAAAATAGATAGAGCGAGAGGCACAGGACGAGCGGGTGTTAGAAGAATGCAGGGATAATGCCCTAGAGGAGAGGCGTGTATGAGAAATTTCAAAAGCACCCTATAAAAGCATGGGAAGAATGGTGTTCAGAGTGCTGGAAGAATGCCAGAAAGGGTGGACTCCTGAAGGCGCAGCCTTAAGAAAATCCGAAAGGTCTTCGCAATGATGCAGGAACAGCGTAAGAAGATACAGACATTGTAAAAACACCTGCACGACAGATTCTCACCGCTTCTTTTCTACCTCATGACCCCTTCCCTCAGAGTCACTGTCACTACTGCTGCCGCTGCTCCTTCCATCGGACGGGCTTCGTTTCCTTCTTCTGCTCCCCTTAGCATCGCGCCTCCTGCGTTTGCCGTTTAAGCTCCTCCGCTGATCGCGACCGTCAGAGTCGCTGTCGCTAGGACTCCTGCTCCTACTTCGGCTTCGCCTACGCCGAAGTTCACGCTCCGCCTTATTCTTCGTACTCCCGCCATTCCTAGCCTTCTTTCTCGTCTCCCTGTCACGGCTCCTGCTGGTACTGCTTCCGCTGTCACTCTTCCTGTCTCTCGCTCTGTCTCTCTCTCTGTCTATCTCTCTGTCACTCCCACTCTCTCCATTCTCACTACTTCTGCTGACTTGTTTCGCCCGGCGTTCTTGTCGCTCTCGTCGTCTACCCCGCCCGCCGTCTCCTTCCTCATCTGACCTTCCCTCCCTCTGAATCCGCACCTCCCTTTCTGCACCCTTCATTCAAAACCTCTGATAGTAAGTAATCAGCGGTCTAATTATATGAAAAGTGAGCCGAATCGGAACTAAGGGAGCAACCGACGTTATGCCCTAGCAGGTGCCACCTTGCTCATCAGATTACTGATTTGTTCCTTCGAATATGAAGGTGCATGTTCAACAGCTGCGGGGCGGGTGGTGTTTGTTCACTATCTCGTGCCTGCGAGACTTCGGGATTGCATTTGTAGCTGGACTCTAACAAACCGAACCGAACCTCTTTCGCGTGGTACCGCGTACGAACGTGAGGCATCGAGCTTAACCGAGCGACCGAACTTCCATCAGCCCTACAATGGCTTAGTACAGTGAAGTTATCCATCTAAATAAAGATACCAAATTATTCATGAGGTTTTGCCTTCACATGACCTACAGAGTCAGTGGATGGATGGATGCTAGCAACGCTTAGGTTGGGTGATGGCCACACGAGATGGGCATTAGAAGGGGTTTGAACCAGTGGTGCAAGGAGCTGCTAAAGGCGAAGGCTGTGCTGTGCTGAATCAGGGCACTTCCCAATAGACTTCAACCCTTGGAGTGCTGGTGGTGAGGCAGGTTTGCCCAAGTCAGGCAGAGCAAGGATGTCACAACAATGCGGTGCCTTTATTGGATTGCACTGATCGCACTCTCTCACCCATCATGCGGAAAGAGGAACACATCTAATGAATCAATGCCGGTCAACGGCCGGTGGTGAGTCGACACATGTGGTAGAGCCGGCCCCTGCCAGCCAGCCAGCTACACCTGGAGCAGCACCGCTCCATTACCTCCAACTCTTAACGTGACAAGAACACAGGTCCCCAGGCTAATCACTGTGCTCCCAAGGCATGCCACATAACCCAATCCACTCGAGACAGCAACCACACCATTGAGCTGACCTTGGATGGGACCCCAATTGCCTAGAAAACTCTATCCTCACGAATCATTTTGTGAACCATCTGCATCCCTGACCGCAACTCATCCCACGCCCCCCACCCATACCGACCAGAAACCCCTCTCTACCCCATCTATCCCCTCTACAACCCATCAAGTTATCCCACACGTTGCTCAAGAGTCCCCAACCAGGCCTCCCACTGCCGAACCCTCAGCTGAACTAGATGAACTAAATGTACGCCTCTTGCTCCATGGGTACCTCCCTGCACTTCCTCTGCCCGCCCTCCATCCGGCACGCCTTCACCACCTTCCCCGGCTGCCTCTCCACCTCGCACATACACCCCGGCATGGGGTTCACATGTCCTCCAGCTTCGGCTTCTCCCCAGCCTCCCGCTGCCATGGGCGCTCAGATCACGATTAGATGTACGCCTCTTCCTCCATGGGAACCTCCCTACACTTCCTCTACGCCCCCTCCATCCGGCACGCCACAGCCTTGCCTGGCTGCCTCTCCACCTTGCACATGCACCCTGGCATGGGGTTCGCATAGAAGTTCTCCTCCAGCTTCAGGTTCTCCCCGGCCTCCCACTGCCAGGGGCGCTCTGATCCACGATTAGATGTACGCCTCCTCCTCCTGGGGCACCTCCCTGCACTTCCTCTGCCCGCCCTCCATTCGACATGCCTTCACCGCCTTCCCTGGTTGCCTCTCCACCTCGCACATGCACCCCGGCATGGGGTTCGCATAGAAGTTCTCCTCCAGCTTCGGATTCTCCCCAGCCTCCCGCTGGTGAGCCCCCCCCACGCGCCCTTTGTGGTGCTTCCGGATTTCCTTGCGCACCGCGTTCCAGCTCATCTCGCCCGCCTTGAACTGATCTAGCAACCTCACCACCGCCTCCCTGATTGGGGGGGGGAGGGGATACGGGGGAAAGAAGCATCACAAGGGGATTGAATTGAACTGGTCTGTCCAATGGTGAGGGCCCCCACACACGCCTCTTGTGCTGCTTCCGTATCTCCGTGCACACAGCGTTCCAGCTCATCTCACCCGCCTTGAACTGGTCTAGCACCCGCACCACCACCTCTCCGGTAGGGGGGTTAGGCATGACGGTCTTATTAGAGGTTTGGTGCTTGTGCACCGCTTTCCAGCTCATCTCATCTCGCCAGCCTTGAACTGGTCTGGCAGCTGCATCACCTCCTCCCACTCTGTTGCAACTTCCCTATTGTCCTCACCTGTCGGGGATGGTTGTCTTCCTGTGCCCTTCAAACCGCCTGTGGCCCTGCATGGCGCGAGCCATGTTGTCCTCATATGCGTATGCCAACACGTCACTCTCCATCTCCTATCTTCACCCACCCCATCACCCTCTGATGCTACTATTCCCCTCACCTGTCGGGAATGATCGTCTTCCTGTGCCCTTCGAACCGCCGGTGCCCCTGCACAGCTCTCGCCATGTTGCCTTCATACGTGTATGCAAACACGTCACTCTCCACGGCCACTGTGTAGTCCACTGCTGCCAGCCTGTTCTGATACCCTCCCAGCGCTGCCAGCTCCTCTGGGGTGGCGAGAGTGGAGTGCGTGAACGTGTTCGGGTAGTACCGCTTCAGCTCCTGGCGAGGGGTTGAGGAGAAGGACAAGAAGATAGAGAAGGCGCTGGAGGGATTGAAAAGAATGGCAAGAAAACGCAGGGAAGGGAACGGAGTGGCGAGAGTGGAGTGCGTGAACGTGTTGGGGTAGTACCGCTTCAGCTCCTGGCGAGGAAAAAGAGGAGGAGGGGTTGAGCACAGATACAGGTGAGTTAGAAGTAAAAAACAACTTATAGCACGTTGTTAATTCTGTTTTTTAAGGGGTGAGCAGGCATGAAAAGAATCATGTTCTTCTTCTCACCGTGAGGCCTTTAGAGCCGTAGATGTCCCCAGCAGCAATGTATATCAACGTCTTCTTAGGAAACCCCATGGCGTGCAGAAACAGTGCGGTCTCCTTGGGCGTGAGGGGGCACGCGCCCTCCTTGCGCCTTGCCTCCCCGTCGATGTCCTTCTCCTTCCACCGTGAGTTGTTCAGCCGCATCTCCCTCAGCTCCCCACTCTCCCACCGGCTCAACCCGTGGTCGCACCCTGTGAATGCCAACATGTCCTTCTCGTACCTGCAAGGGAAAAGGAATATGTGGGGAGGGGGATGGGGGGGAGAGGGGAAACGGAATCAGCAAGGGTTGATTCTTCTTGAGAGGCTGCAGGAACAGCACGGTCTCCTTGGGCGTGAAGGGGCACGCGCCCTCCTTGCGCCGTGCCTCTCCGCCGATATCCTTTCGTACCAATGCAGTGCATGCTGTAGGCATGACTCTCACGAGGATAACCCCAAGCTCCCACCTGAGGTGCAGTGCTCTGTAGCGCTCTAGCTTCCTCAGTCGGGCGACCAGGTTCCCAGCGATACAAAAGAGAGGGTGTATGTGTACCGTAGGGAGCGGTAATTTTCGAGTCGACTCAAAAGTCACCCCAGCGATACGGGAGATGGTGTCTGCGTACCGTAGGGCGCGATAATTTCTCGGCATCAGCCCTGTCAAACCCCAACCCGACCTTACCCTATCTCCTCACCTCAGGTGCAGCATGATGTAGGGCCCGAGTTTCCTCAAGCGCACAACCAGGTTGCAAGCAACACAGGGAATGCACCAACCAGGCTTGTGTTCTTCACCAGGACAGTGGGTGCTGCAGGCACACACCTCAAGTGCAGCGCGATGTAAGGCCCGAGAAAGAAGTAGTGTTTTCAGACGTCTCGAAACACTACTTCTTTCACGTCACCGGATTTGCGTTCTTCACCAGGCAGTGGGTGCTGCAGGGCAGGCACATACCTCAAGTGCAGCGCGATGTAGGGGCCGAGCTTCCTCAAGCGGGCGATCAGGTTGCCGGCAACGCCCGAGATGGTGTTGGTATAGCGGAGAGCGCGGTAGTTGGCTCGGCAGCGCAGCCGCTGGATGGACTCGGGCACGCCGTTGTTGGCCAGCCGCGAGTCCGTCAGGGGGAAGCGCATCACCCGGTGCTTCTTCAGGCGCAGAAGCAGGTCCTCTCGATAGTAGGAGAACTGGGGGAAGAGGGGGGGGGGGGAAATGGGGTATGCAAGGGCGAAGTGGGTGACGAGGAAGCACATCACGCAGTGCTTTTTTCAGTCAGAGGAGACGGTCCTCTCGGTAGTAGGAGACGTGGGAGGAGTTCGACAAAGGGGGTAGAGGGGTACGATTGGGTGGGGAATGGAGGAGGATAATGGAGAAAGGCTAGCCGGGAGTCTGTCAGAAGGAACCGCATCACCCGATGCTTCTTCAGGCGCGGGAGAAGCGGTAGCAGGAGAACTGGGGGACGAGCGGGAGGAACGGGGAATGAATGACAGGGCGCGACGGCGGACGACTCTGCGGGGCAGCTCCTATGTGTATGTATCGATACATATATCCCAGTGGGCACTCACCGGCGACCAGGAGATGGGGAACTTTTCGAGCACGCGGCGGTGGGCCACTCTGCGGGGTAGCTCCCTGACCACGCGGATGTCGTCCTTGAGCGTCTCAACAAAGTGCTCCAGGTCGAATATGTCCTCGAACTCGCTGACGTGGCAGACAGGGATGGTGTGAGGGGTGAGGGAGAAGTAGAACGTTTGGTCAGGGCACACGAGGGTGATGTCCTTGAGCGTGGCAATGAAGTGGTCCAAGTTGAATATGTCCTCGAAATTGCTGGGGAGGGGAGCGGAAGTGGGAGCGGGAGGAGAGTAATGGTGAGCGAATGTGAAACAGTGAGGGCACTGGAGGAGTCCTCTAGCGTGGCCACGAAGTGCTCCCGGTCGAATATGTCCTCGAACTCGCTGAAGAGGAGAGGGGAGCGTAAGTGGGAGTGTGTGGAGAACAAAGTGATCCACCGAGCATGTGAGGATGCCCCCGGTTCAGGCACAGGACACGCATGCCTGCGGGCGGATCAGACAAAGCTCAAGCTCTGGCATTACAAGGATTCTACTGCACATTTTGCCTTCTCAAACGCCCAACAGGCGTGTACCTGTGCATGCAAGGGCCTCTGAGCAGCTAATGCGAATACCTGGGGTCAGGCAGACGAGATGAAGGTCTGGTCCAGCTCCAGCACCACCTGAAGGACCACCTGAGTGCATACCTGGGGTCGGACCAGAAGGAGGCGTGGTTCAGCTCGGGCACCACAAGGAACAAGTGGTTGTACACCTGTTCATGCAATGATCTCTGTGCAGCACGTGCACATACCTGGGGTCGGACCAGAAGGAGGTGTGGTCCAGCTCCGGCACCACAAGTGTGGCGTTCATGATGCGAGCCACTGCCACCATGTCGCAGATCTGTGTGTGGGATAGGCATTGGGTACAGTGGGAATAGATAAGAGTAGGAGGGAGCAAGCACGCAGCAAACAGCCTGAACTGAAAAGCGGCTGTCCTCGCGCGTTCTGCCTTCCTCTGCCTCTTTTTAGATTCATGGGGCGACAATAGGCCTGACTGGAATGTCCTTATCGATTTTCACGAGAGCTGCATGGAAACATCCTTGTATAATAGGAGCTCTGAGAGATGATTATGCTGGTTCGAGATGAACACTCACCGCAGCTCGCATTTGGTTCAGACCCCCATTCGCCGTCACCAAAAGGTAGCCATTCGTCGCTGACTTGGCGGGGACTGGGAAGGGCGGGAGCAGCAGGGGAACAATTATCGTCTCTCGGGAATTTCCCATCGTCTCTTGAGGGCAATCGCTTTGGTCCCTCATGCACACCACCAATAATAGGGAATCGTACAGCAAGTTCTCTGGCTCGCCACTCATCCCCCATCCGCAACAAACAGCAAGTCACACTCAAGAACGCACGTCACGACGATTCGTACTTGAGCACGCGGCAGAACCAGGAAGCATGCTACCTACCTTTATGCGTCTTGGAGCGTGCGATACACTGTTCGATGTGGTCCACTGTAGGACTTCTCCACAGAATCTTCTCCGACGTCCGTCGCGGAGCGTGCGACCCAGACGCGTTGAACCCAGACGTCCACACGGCGCCAATCGCGGACGACAGGAGAAGCGAAGACGGGGAGGAAGAGGAGGAGGAGGAGGAGGAAGGAGAGGGGAACGAGGAGGAGAAGGAAGGAGAAGGAAACGAAAAGGAAGCTGACGGAGGTGACGTGAGACGCTCTGTATCAGAATCTGCTACAGTCAGCGTGGAGATGACTGGAGAATCTGCTCTAATTCCGGAACGCGCCTTTTCCCCTCGTACGAAATCGTCCCCTTCCCGTTCGTCCCTCTCCGCTCCTCCCCCACCCGCTCCCACCGCACCAATCACCGCCGAGGCGGCTGCTGCTGCGCCTGCCACAGCTGCTGCGGCCTGAGCCGCTTCGCCTAGAGCCCCGTCCAGCATACTGATTTCGCTGCTTTCGCCAGGCGTTCCAACCGCTTCGCGAAGATTCGCCGCGTTTCGCAACGTCTCAGAACTAGTTCCAGGCGCGCCATGAGAATTCGGAGAGGCTGCAGAAGACGTCAATGCCGTGGAATCTGGTGTGTGCTCGGCTCGCTGATACACGACAACATTGGGGAAAAAGGAAAAGAACGGATGAATCAGTCCAGACATTTGATGAACCACGCGACCAACGAGACGACGCCAGGAACGAAGTGAGTGGTTTCACGATGCATTCCGAGCAGTTCAAGACCCGCACAAGAGATTTTCGCCGCGGCTGGTCCCGCATACGCTAAGTTGAACTCCGCATCCACATGTCGACCTAGATGTGATACAACCCATCCCCTCCTTGCACACACACGCACAACGTCTACATACGCATTGAACCATCTGTTAGAAGCCGTAACCCTTACCTGGGCCTGCAGAGCACGGGTTGAATCCCCAAGGCTGTCAGCAGAACCTGGCAAGTCGGATGACTCGGCTGCTTTTCTCCTTTCAAAATAAGCATTTTCAGTGCTGCTTGTACTTGTATCCATGTCTTGTTCGGATAATGACGAGGCGGCGAGTTCAAGTGGTAACGCGGAGGAAGATGAGGGAAGGAGCTTCATCAATCCTCGTGTCTGCAACGACGAGGCCCAAAAAACGGAATAATACGGGTTAGACGACGAAGACGGCAAAGAAGACGATAATACAAGAGTTCCGGATTCTCGAGCAGTCAATAATGGTCAACGGGTACACTTACGACGTACCTTATGTAAGGAAGGAATCGACTTTAGCGATGCTCCGACCATGACCAGGCCCACCATCAGCAACAGCGTCTTCATGCGAAAATGCACCAAGATTCGCCGGAGGTCTCGCCTTCCGAACCATTTTCTAGCCTCTGGTAACGCAGACGCTAAGGCTGTCCGGGTTTTGGAAGATAGCTGCTTCCGCACCTGACGCTTTCCATCAAGAATCTCAGGCTTCTCTAAACCGGGATTCAATGGGGAATCTCTAGAATGTTTAGGCAATGTCGTAAATCTCCATGACACCATGGATTCCTGTGCTCTGTCACCACGGGTGCTAATGTTAGCAGTACGAGCAGAGGGAGAGTGTGAATTGACTGCTGGTCCAGCAAGATCATGTTGGAAAGGCTGATGAGGGTGAAAATGGTGGCTTGCGCCTTGAAGGTGTGTCAGATTCGCTGGTTGCTCACTGAGAATGGGTCGATCATTTTCGCACAAGGTTTCGAAGACTGGCCTTTGGCGTCTCGATGCTGCGACTAGAGGGCTTCTCGAGTGTTGCAGGGGACTTGGCAAATCGCGAGTTTTCTGGTTGCTGCTATGAGTACGCTCCTGTAACACCTCTACGAAGGTACTGTCTGCTTCTTGTCCTCTTGGTGTTACGGGTTCCGTTGCGAGAGGAATAGCCATCTCGACGCTCATCCAAATCTAATTTAGAGAAGGACCTTACCAATGGCGCATAGACGAATAACAACGGAAACCCCACCAACTCTTGCTCTGCGTGACAGATTAGCGAACTATCTCGACTATGTCCATCACATCATCCCTGAACAACACTGCAAAAGCTAACGATAACTGGAGAGGCAACGTAAAGTAGGATGACTACCCACGTGTCAGCTCAGCACACGCCACGAGGGTGTTAGAGGCAGTTAGTGGAGCTGTGTGCCAGCGTAGAGGTAGGCATGAGGGACAAGTTGCTGTATTCAGGGAGTCTACGATGCTATGAATGCTCTGCTTGTGATGTTGCTCAAAAGCGTGGGCAACAGAGCAGGATGACGAGATCGCATGGCATGATGCCTTCAAATTCATTGGTTTTGGTGCTGAGCTGACCTTGGTGTTTGGTCACTGGGAGAAGAACAACAATACAGATTCCTTGGGATGCTGTCAAAACGTATATGGCAAAAAGTACAAAATTGACATTCATGACAATGATATACCGACGTTTAACGCTCTGAGACCATCGGAACCATTGTCCAACCACTCAAAACCCCGAATTTGAGCTTCCAAGTCCAAATTTGTTCCCAAACTACACGTCTTGATAAACCTGGACTCAAGAACAGACCGAGGTTTCAAGGAAAGCAGGAAGCCGAATGGCGGGAATGGGGGAGCCGCTCCAGGCTGGTGCTTGCGGTTCGATGCGGTCCCGCACCGCGACAGGCTCTAGCTTCCTTGCGTTCCTCACGTCGCTGTGACTGCTCCAAGCAGATTGGCAAGCCGGAGGTTCAAGGCTGACCGTCAAGCCCAGAGTTCGGTCTGACATTCGTTAATGAAGAAAACCGATGCACGCACACTCGCATTTCATTACATTTCGCATTCGTTCAAGTTTGCGCATTTGTGCGTGCAGCCAATTCAGAGATTACATTGACGTGCTACGTATCGGAGCATCCAATAGTGCATTCTCGTAGAAATGTTCCACTTTCAGAGGCTGCCAGGAATACATTTCTCAGCTGTTGCGCTTCGATCACTTGAGCCAGCAACGAGGAGTTCCCGTGAACTTCTCCTTCCTTCCAGCGACATTAGTCCAGCCTCGACCTCGAGAACTCCTCACAGCTGTCTGTTTCTCTCAAGGGATCATTCTGTGCACGGAAGCGCTCGTTGCTGAGAGTATTTAAAAGGTCAAGCGACCAAGTCGCGCTGGATGTCTAGTACTAGGACGTCTGATCCTGAGTTATAACAAGATGGGCAGCGACACACAGACATTGCTTAATAGACTTCGTGAGCTGGTGATTTTCGCCTTGATTGTACAATGCTACGGAAAAGCGCCTGACCGCGATCTTGTTCTCGTGGTAAGAGTTGGTTCCAACGTCTTGTCCGAAGCAGGCGTTTTCCCCACAAGAATGATAAAATAATGTCTGATGGTCATGTTGATCATGCAGAGATATCGAGGCAGGGTGCTGAAGATTTGTTCGGGAAGGAGTATAGGCAAACCTTTGGACGTAATTGCGGGCAATGGTTCACTCACGACCGTGGTCAACGCTGGACTGGAAAATCCACACTCGCACATGTACATAGGGGATTCACGTTTGAGAGGTACGGCTTACCGCCGACTCAGCACGCGGAAATGGTGCCTACTGGACAATTCTAACTCCCCGTTTGGTTCTTGGACAGGTAGAAGACATTGTGGCAACGGTGTTCTGCAATTTCTCGAGTTCAACAAGTCGAGGAATGCCTTCAACACCCTTGCAACAGACGATATTCCGTCAGTTGTGAAGCATTCATCATTCGTCGTTTCGGTTACCAATCCTGGAAAGGATGACGTGAACTCCAAAATTCTGCATAAGAACTCCTATCAGCACGACCCAAGTGTGACTGGAACCACTGCAGATGCAGCAGCACTTAAGGTAATTGGTCTGGACTCGTTACTTCCGAAGACGTTACCGACTTGCCAACTTATTGTCCCGTAATCCATGACGTGCAGATGTATGAAGGCAGCGTGGACCAGCTGAAGCAACAATATGCTCCGCATCACGAGATGATCCAGGAGTTCATGCTGAGAAGTCCAGCGAAGAAGCTCCGTGCTGCTGTTTTGATAACCAGAGCTGAGGATGGCGTCTCTCACTCTGCTGTGTACCCATACTGCAGACACTTACGTGCCCCTTATTGCCTCAAAAGACGCTGTCAGGTGGTGCATGCCTTCCTGGCTACCTTCACTGGTGATCATGAAAGCCAAGGTCGTCAGCTTCTAAAAGCTAAACGTGGCCCGCATGTGGCATATACAGCTGTTTGTGTTAGATACGTTTGGAGCCCTATTAAAAAGGCTTATGTAACAATGCCATGCTGAGTGCATACTTCATTGAAGATCTACCCTTCACAAGAGCATCCCTGTGTCCACTAACACTAACCAGCATCCTCATCATCACTACTGCCATCCCGATCGGCTGTGCACTCCACCTTGAGCTTCTCCATAAGCTCTTCAAAGGCGCTGCCCTCTGATCTATCATGGAGATCAAACGGGGCGCCACTAGCAGCTCTCAACCCCAACTGAACACCACTCCGCGACTCCACGATCCGCATCTCGACTGAATTTAAAGCACAAAACCCAGGTTCTCCATTACCCAGCTGCTCAGCTGATGAGTTGGAATCACCGGTAGTTCTGGATGCCTCGTGCATCACACATCTTTCTGAGTGCATACCATCTATCTCTTCCCAGGAGAAAAGAAGAGGTAGTGTGGCTCCACCATACGTGTTGAAATCAACCAGTTTCAAACGGCCATCACGAGTGATGTAGACGTCAAAAGTGTCTGCCGAAAGGTGTGCAAATTCCACACAAAAGCGAACACACATCAGGAGAACAAACTTGTATGACATACACAACGGAAAAGGCATAATAAGTGTGCTTACAGTCAGTAGAAGGAAAATTTCCACGAATGCGGTTGTCATAGAAGTCACATATCTGGAGCTTGATATTTTCATGAGAATCGACTAGAAATGGGTAGAAGGATGTGATCTCTCTCTGACTAATTCCTGTCGGGGAAGGGAATCAATGCACCAGGTGAAAAAAGAAGATCCGTTAGGGCAGGGGGACACCTGGACCTGATAGGTAGTCCAAAGGGGGAAACAAAAGCGACAAAAAGGAGATTTTTTATATCATCATACCCATGAGTCGATGAGCCTTGACAAAGCAGCGGAACTCCATTTCTGGCCGGAGGTCAAACCACTTGCGCAAGGCAAGCACAAACTCGGACGGACGGCTCTGCCGCCCGCACTCATGCTGCTGCACCTCTTCCACCTGCGGCTCTTGCCGTGGCTCAGCATCGCCATTCATTCTGCCAGCATTGCTATGCTCCTGCTGCTTTCCATCTGCTTCTGGAGCCGCCACACGTGCTCCACCATTGCTCCTGTCGCTGGAAGGCTCGCAACCATCGGCAGGTGCTTCCGCTTCTGGGGAATCTCCAGTCGCAGAAGTGTCAACACAACTGTCAAAACTGCCATACGCAACCGAGAAGGCATGGCATTTGCTTGTGATTAACCAATAAACATGGATGGTCAAACCACCCAGAGACTACTCTGAAGTGCGTCAACAAGGAAAAACCATCCATGGTACAAGTCGGCAGAGGTGGGAGTGTCGTGCGTGTGAGAAGATAAATATCATACGCATGGCAGAGGTCGTAGGTGAGGGAGTCGGAGGCCTTGAGCAGCAGAAAGACCTCCTGAGCGTTGCTGCACTTGGGTGTGCCCGTCGCACTCAGCCATCCCACGTCCTGAGATTGCACGACATGAGGGCAGTGGTGAGGGACAGAGAAGCAGGTGCCTCTTTTTTTTTCTTTTTTTCTTTTTCTTTTTTTTTGAAATGACTTCAACAAAGAATGGAATTGAAGGTCAGAATTAAAGTCAGGTGCACCACTTACCTTAGGGCAGCTCCAGTTGAGTTTTGGCAGCACGGATCCTCCCAGCCGCGCAATAGCGGCGTCAACAGCAGCCTCAAGTGCAGGGAAGGAAGGCACGTCCGGCTCGTCTGCTTCATCGTCCTCCTCCTTCATCCCCTCATAGTCATCGCAATGTGCCTCCCACTCACCCACTCGTGTGCGCGTGGGCAACTGGAAGGACAAGAGGGACGACGGAAGAGTGAAGAGAGGGGAGAGAAAGAAGAGAGAAAAGGGACGCGGGAAGAGGGACGAGGGAAGAGAGAAGAGAGAAATGGACAAGCACATGAGATGGAGCTGCGAAGATTGAGGGGGAGAACGAGTTCTTCTTCCTTTCCTCACAGCTCCCAAAACCCGCACCAGACCCAAAACCGGAAACCCCGAAACCCGAGACTCGGGCAGCTGAGTGGGATTCGAACGACTTTCAGACCGCTTCAATGAAACGAGCGATTGTACGCGAGGAGATGCGTTTTTAAATCGATCGGAGATTGTCTGCAAGGCATCTGTTCAGGGTTTCGGGTTCAAACGGAGGGGAGTGAGCAGTGCAACCTACCGCCTTACACGAAGCTGGGAGGAAGATTCCGTCAGAAAGAAGATAGTCGATAAATTCGGGCGGGAGAGGGATGATCTCCGTGCGGAGCGAGACGGAGCGGAATTTGGGGTACCAGCTCTGGATCTGGCACGCGAGCACGTCGGCGCGACGCATGGCTGCTGATGCGGAACGCTAAATCCCTGGTATTGCCGAGTACGCCGCAAACGGAAAGTTGTTGGTGCTCAGGAGGGGAAGCGTCGCGTCGCGTACCGAAAGCCGTGCATAAAATGGTGGTGCTAGGGTTGGTGGTTGCGGTTGTGGTTCACGAGAAAAATTTCTAGTACCGTATGCTGGTTCTAGTCGATTCTGGTGCTAGCATGTTCACTAGTGCTGAATGGATTCTTGACGCTGTGTTGCGTCCAGCAAATGGGATTGGTCGTGGTGGAATTAAACGGTGCTGCCTGGTGCTACTCGGTGGGGTCGGAGGTGCAACGTGATCACTCCAAAAAGTGCTTCGCTAGATCGTGTAAGGAATTTTCTCGATATTCCTTAGCGCACCCTGCAACATCGCGTACAGCAGCAACCGTTGTTCGCCCGTTACTGCTAATGGGGCTTCGCCGACTTCGCGCTCACTGTTTCACCAAACCTCGCACTGCTGGCCTGGCCGTGTCGGCCTACGCTTCGGGACTAGCCCGAGCCTCGCTTCCAGCGTAGCACTAGCTAGCTCGCACGCACCGCGTTACCGTTTGCATGTTTCGCGTATAAATGTTCGCTCATGCCTTCGCTCACATTTTGTACTCGTTTGACACCTTAGTGCAATTCTCGCTACTTCGATTCATTGCACCCGTAACACTTGGTATTCAGAGCCTCTTTCCTTTTCGGACCGCGCATCTCCGCACCCCAGGAAATCAACTTTTGATTTTTTCACTCGAAAGGGACTCACGCACCTTAGCACCTAGGAGCCGCTGTCCTCGCGTTCTCTCGTAAACGCGTGCAGCCACGACTGCGCCTAGACTAAGACGAGCCGACGCCCTTCGACATGGCTGAGCATATCGATGTCACGACTCTCACGCAAGAGCATTTGAACGAACCGCTGCGGCAAATCCGCGAAAGCTCTGAGGAAATCGCGGCGCTGACGGCAGAACGCACGTCCCTGCAAAATGACCTCGCACGAACACAATCCCAAGCACCTGGCACTCCGATTCAGCCCGCACCACAGGCATCAAAGCACGGAAGTGTGGGGCAACCCGCGAGCGCCGCAAGTGATGGCGTCATCCGCCATGACGGAGACGACGACCACGGCACGACACACCCCGACGCGACGAATGCGGCCCGGAATCAGCCTCGAGTCACGATTTCGGTGCCGGCCGGCGAATCAGCTCTTCCGTCGCCGATGCCGCTAAAGCCGCAGCGTCCGCCATGTTTTGACCCAAGTCAGCGGGGTGGTCCTACCGTTCAGGCGTGGCTCTTCACGTTGAACGTTTTCTTCGACGCGAACTACGTCTCGGAGGATACGGCGAAGATTCGCTACGCCGTGTCGTTGCTGCGAGGACCCGCCATGGACTGGTGGCGTGTCATCGTCACGAAGCCGGTGGACTACGCGACTCTACCAACACGGGAAGGACAAACCGGACCCTGGGCGCCGTCGTATTTCGTGGAGGTGCCCCAGTATCGCACGTGGGACGCGTGGTGCGCAGGTCTGCGCGCTCGTTTCGAGCCAATTGCGGCTTCGATCGCGGCGCGACAGAGGCTCCGCACTTGGCGCCAACTCGGTTCCATCCAAGACTACACGAGCGAGTTTCTGGCGCTATGCGAGCAGGTGGGATACATGCATGAGAGCGAGCGCATCGACCGCTACATCGGCGGCCTGAAGCAGGACATCGCTCAGGAAATCCAGCTCCGCGGCGTCACCGATTTTCAGGAGATTCTCGCCATGGCGGAGAAACTCGATTTCTTCCGCCGACCGAGACCGGGGTTCTACGGAAGCAGTAATTGGGGACATGGGCCTCGTGGGACGAACGAGGGCGCTACGATACATGCCGTCGCCGCAAATGCCGCTGCCGCACCATTCAAAGGGCGTTGCTTTGCGTGCAATCGGCCGGGACACCGTAAGAGCGAATGCCCGGAAAATGCTAAGGGAAAGGGGGAAGCTGAGCAGCAGAAACAGACCAAGCAGCAGGGAAACGCTGGGAGTCAGTAGCAGACGGGCCCTCTACTGACAGGTCACGCCACTCACCCGACCCAACCGACCCTCACCGAGTGATTGTGCCGGTTCACGCAATCGACCACACCCGGCCGAATAAGGAGGGTACTACGGTAGACAGCCCCATACTGCTTAGTGGGAAAATTGGGACTGACTTAGTTAAAATATTCGTAGACGGGGGGACCAGCCATAGCCTTATCAACACTGTCACAGCACGAAAACTGCGACTGCCACTGGACAGATGTTTACCTGAGATCGACGCAAGACTGGTCGACGGCACGCCACTGGCGATACGGGAATGCGTGGACCGAGTTCGGATTCGATGTGGGGGTAACTTCACGTTTAGCCAGGAAATGCTCGCAACGACCCTCGACGGAACCGATATTTTACTCGGGCGTGATTGGCTACGACGACACAATCCGCGAATCGACTGGACGACGGGTGACTGCACTACGCGAGTGAACGGTAACAACATCGCCTTACCTCGCTGGGGCTCACCTGAGTCTTCGTCGATGCGTATCAACGCGATCACGATGAAGCGCGCCGTAGCGGCAGGAGCTGACGTGTACGCGGTTGACATTCGGGAAGCCGAGGCAGCAGACAAAGGAGGGGATTTACAGAAACTGCTGGCCAATGTACTGAGTGATCTGGCAGCTCTGTTGAAGCAGTACAGTGACATTTTCCCGGACGACCTACCGACGGGACTGCCACCTCAGCGACCACACGACCACAGGATAGAACTAGAACCGTGGGCACAGCCGACAGTACAGCGACAGTTCCGACTGACCCAACCCGAACTGGACGAACTGAGGAAGCAGCTGGATTACCTACTAGAGAAGGAGTTCATTCGCCCTAGTTCGTCGCCCTTCGCAGCACCGATACTGTTCACGCCGAAAAAAGACGGGGGATTTCGCATGTGCATAGATTACAGAGCACTGAACAGGGTTACCATCAAATCCCGTTACCCCATCCCGCGAGCCGACGAACTGATCGACCAACTGCGCACAGCACGGGTTTTCTCGAAAATTGACGTTCAAAGGGGTTACCACCAGATTCGCGTTAACCCACCCGACTGCCCTAAGACAGCCTTCCGAACACGCTACGGATCCTTCGAATACACCGTCATGCCCTTCGGACTGACCAACGCCCCCGCCACTTTTCAAATGACCATGAACGAAGCCTTCCGCCCGCTTTTAGATAAGTGCGTCATCGTATACCTGGACGACATCCTGATTTACAGCCCGGACCGAGCACAGCACTTACAGGACATCGAAGCAGTTTTTAAGATACTGAGTGGGAACCGCCTATTGACCAAAGCATCTAAGTGTGAGCTTTTACAGGACCGACTGGAGTTTTTGGGACACATTATTTCAGCTGCAGGAGTGGAAATAGACCCGAAAAAAATTGCGACGATTCAAGCATGGCACGCGCCGACCAACTTGACCGAGTTGCAGAGTTTTCTGGGGTTCGTCAACTACGTGCGCCGGTTCGTCCCCGACATGGCGAAGCTGACTACCCCGTTGACTGATCTGCTGAGAAAGGGGGTTGAGTACACATGGGGGGAGAAAGAGCAAGCTGCCTTCTCGGCCCTCAAAAATATTTTGTGCTCACCGCCCGTGCTTCATATCGCAGATCCGCACCGTGCGTTCGAGCTTGTCACCGACGCTAGCGACATCGCTGTGGGAGCAGTACTGTTGCAGGACTTCGGGAACGGCCTTCAGCCAATCGCGTACGAGTCCCGCAAGCTTCACCCGCCCAAACGCAACTACCCGATACACGACCGCGAGATGCTGGCGATCGTGCACGCGTTCAAGGTGTGGCGATGTTACCTCACGGGAGCAGACGTGATAGTACGGACAGACCACCGATCCCTACAGTACCTTCGCGCCCAACCGAATCTCAACCCACGACAGATCCGCTGGTTGGACTATCTGAAGTCCAATTTCCACTACACGGTCACGTACAAAAAAGGCGCATCCAACATCGCCGACGCACTCACACCCCCCCTCGCCCAACTCCACGCCATCCTACTCGCCCAAACCAACCCACTGTTATCAGGCCTATTCACCCACGGATACAGTACCGACCCATTTTCACGACCGGAAATTCACAGCAACTGGTAGAAGCAAAAGGAGTCTATTACGTAAAAACAGGCACCAACCGCATCTGGGTACCCGCGTACTCACTACTGAGGGAACTGTTACTGCAGGAGGCACACGACGGGATTACCTCGGGACATTTTGGGGTAGAAAAAACGCGACAGCAACTGCAGCGGTATTACTACTGGCCGGAGCTGTTGACCGACGTACAGCACCACGTGGGCTCGTGCCCTACGTGTCAGGTGATGAAGAGCTCGCGAAAAAGAAAGGCGGGTCAGTTGCAGCCGATTCCACCGCCTGAGCGCGCCTGGCAGCAGGTTACCATGGATTTCGTCACAGGGTTACCTTCGAACCCTGGGGGTAACGACGCGGTTATGGTCATCGTTGACAGGTTGACGAAGGTGGCACACTTCGCTGCGTGCAAGAAATCGATCTCAGCTGAAGAAACCGCTCGCCTGTTCATCGCAGCCGTCGTGCGACTTCACGGGATACCAGCCGCGATAATCAGCGACCGCGACACGAAGTTCACCAGCAACTTCTGGAAGAACCTCTGGGAGCAGTTTGGGACAAGGCTACAGTTCAGCTCGTCGAACCACCCCGAGACCGACGGTCAAACGGAGCCGACGAATCAGACGATGGAGCAGTTGATTCGTGCCACGTGCGACGACCCGACCACTTGGGAGCAGCAGCTGCCGCTGATCGAGTTCGCGTACAACAACGCCACGTCAGCGACGACGCAGCAGTCCCCTTTCTATCTGAACTACGGGCAAAACCCTACAGTGCCCATGACGCCGAGTCCAGACAACCCAACACCACGTGCACAGCAATTCGCCGAAATTCTGCAAGCTGCCCGCACCAGAGCCGCAGAAGCA